AAATACAAATATTTAATTAATATATAATAATTTTAATATCAGCAAATTTTATTATAAATTTTAATTCTAATATTATTTCATATTAATAAATTTTAAAAGACCTCATGCATCTCTTGCTCCTAGAGTCACATTTTACGTTATTGAACACGAATATGGGTTTTAAAAATTACTGATCACGAATTTTACAATTCACAGATCCGTGATTCTGCACATGGGTCTTTCAATTCACAGTTGTTTGAGATTCAACTACATGCCTCTAATAACTTTCTGCGAAAGATAAAACTTAGTTTTGTAAAATGTTATTAAAGGTATCAATTTACAAAACTCAATACCTTGGGGCAATTGATTGATAATGTAAGATGCTGCCAGTATACTACCAAAAATTTTTCAAAAGTCTGTGAGAAAATTCCACCAAATTGCATTTTAAAATATCCACGTTGCCACTTGCAATACTCCTAGAAGACAAATGGGAATACATTGGCACCATCCCTCTAGATTTTAGAACAAAATAATAATGTGGCAAGTTATAACATTGGGAGTGGGTTAACAAAGTATGACGTGGACTTGAGAGATTATATAAAGGATTTACAATGCTATACAAAGGTTGTTAAACTTGAGAGTGTATGACGTGGACCCCTATAAAGTCTTGACTAGCAGAGTTGACTTGTAAACTCAGTAAGACAAAATAAAAAACATAACAATAAAACTGTTAATGACACATACACTTAACAAAATAGTCTAAACACACATAATACTTTTACTCACAAAAAGAAACAATATTCTAAACACAACGATAACTCAACATTTCACTTCATAATAAAATAACATAGCAAATCACAATAAGAAAATGTAATAATAGACTGGTACTGAAAAAGATTAAACCACATACATGACCAAATTATATTTAAATTCATAAAAACATAAGCTACTGATGCAAAAACATTTCTAAAATGAGTTAATTTCTTTAAATCATTAGAGTCAGGTAAAACACTGTTTGAGAGTTTACACGAGTTTACCAAGTTTTCCCAAAAAAGTGTTTGATAGGGAGTTAACTCATTTTTTCTACCTAGAATAGTACTCTATAATAGCTCAAGAGTTTAACAAGTATGTCAGTAATATTCACACTCTCAGACACCGAGAAATGCTGCATGCAACTGAACTCCATCTCAGTGCAGTACAAAGGAACAAAAAAAACTCTGATGTATTGATTACAAAATTAGCACATTAAAAAGAAAATCGTTTTTAAGTAAACTATGGACAGCCCCCAACCTTTTCAAACCACTTATCAAAAGACCAAATGAAAATTTTCATTAGGCTGGAAGTGAAAAAGGCCAGGACCAGGCACCCAAGGCCGTGGCACTACAATGAAGTCAATAAAAAAAACACTAGAAATTGGAGTGAAGATATGAAACTTACATTAGTTTGAATCTTGACCTGATCAAGCGAATGTAAAAACTGCTGGTATGCATCTTTGTCAGATAAAAGCTTCCGCAACTCATCAACACTGCAATTTATAATGACAAGGAATGAAAGAAAAAACAATTAAGATCAGCATATTCAAAAACAGGAACAGTTTACAACTTCAACGTAACTACAAAATACTAATTGTACAAACAAGAACACCCCTCCAACTATTTTTCATTTGCAAAATCAGATACAACACAATTATGAATAGCAAATAAACTGTGAAAACTCAAACCTCTTGTCCTTCAAAACAGCAATGACTCCGGCGGCTTCGGAGGGCGGAACATGAGAAGAAGGCCTATGCGGTAATGAAGAAGAAGATCCAGACGGTGTAGCAGGCCTAGACGAACTTGGTGAACTTACCACTGATGGTGGATACCACGACTGTGACTGCGAGGAACCATCCTGTGATTGTTGCTCTTGTGATCCCCTGCGCATAATTGGAAGACAGAAATTCTTATATGCTATTAACCACTATCACGCTGGAAATTCAGTTTATTATCATTATCGTTGTTCTACTGAAAGTTTGATGTTACCAAATGCACGATAGCGATTAACCGAACCGGCTCCCCCCCCCCCCCCCCCCCCCCCCCCCCCAGAGGCCCCACCCCCCCCCCCCCCCCCCCCCACCACCCCCCTCTTCCTGTCTATTCATATATGCTCTTAAGCTCTATAGTTTTGGATTAATGGAATAAATGGACAAAAGGGATAGATTAAAACGCAACGAAACATAACATAATAACTTCTTTGTCCTATTGTTTGATATATGATGGCGGCGAATGGAAGAAAATTATTATTCCTTGTTTAAGTAATGAATAGAACGGAATAAATGAATTATTTTCTAATAATACACTTATCTTTTTTATATGTAAGCTTGCAACCCTTATCTTAAATCTTACATATATACATTTCAATCATGTGTTATCATTCTCTTTTTTAATGTCACCTGCCACATGCCTATATTTTGCATCAACTAAGGTAGTAAAAATATGTTTTGGACACAAGAATGTTTTTAAGGATGATGGAAACTCCTGGGAGATTGACTGGGCTATAATAATAAATTCATGTGTCACAATAAAAAAAAAGGGATATTTTTTTTCTAAATAAACAAAAATAAAATAGTTTTCGTAATCTTGGGCGCCAAAGAATGTGAAGATCAGGGGCATCTCATCGAAAAAGATAAAAAGGAAAGAGGGACTATGAAAAATATAATGAGTATAAGTTAATCATAACTTCATAGCTAAAAGAAAACAAAATAATGTAATCTAATTTTAAGGAAATGGCGTGCAATCCTAATGGAGCCATGTGAGAAAATAAAGTACTCGCTGTCTATCCATGGTCTCCTCCCACGGAGTCTACAGGGTGGAGGGTTGAAGAAATTAAAGGAGAAAACAATAAATTCCCAAAAAAACAGAGAAAGAAATATCCATTTTTATCACACTCTCCGTTTCGGAAAAAAAGGGCTGAAAACCAATGGAATCAATGGGAAAGAGCTCTCAATTCAAAAATGAACATTAACTATTTAATCACATCCCTTTCCCCTTCAATTTCTTTCCGTTAATCTAAACCAAGAGAGATACACGTAGATGAAATTTAACGAATTGGAGTTTCAGGGGCGCAGAGAAGAATTACCAGAATCTGAACATGGCTAACTGGTCCCGAATTGCCGATCCACCAGACGAAGAATTGACAGAAACCCTCGAAATTTCAGAGAGAAGGAAACTTCGCAGTGTGGGAACAAACTAGTCCTTCTTTGAATTTAGTTTAATTCATGTAAGTTTTAAGACAGAAAAAACCCCCCCACCCCCCTTTTGCGGGCTCTGGCGACTTTTGCTGGGCCCCTCGAAATGCTGCAGGCCTGGCCCCTTCAATATTAGTTTTTTTTATCACATAAACTAATTTTAACAAAATCATTTTTTTCAATAAATTTCTATATTATAAATTTATATTAATAAATAAACCCATTACTTTTCTTTTACACGTTACTTTTTTTTTTACACGTTACTTTCTTTTTCCTTTCCTTTCTTTCGTTTTTTAATACATCTTTCTAACTCATCTTATACTTTTGTTAATTTTAGTACTTCAACAACGTTAACCTTTTTTTATTCAATATAAAATCAAAAATTATATTGATGGTTTAAATACTATATAATCAGTCTTATAAGATATTTCAACAATTACTGCAATATGATATATCTATATGTAATATTAATATAATATTTTTGTGACCGAATAATCCAAGATTTTTGTGACTTTTATTTGTTATATTTATAGGGTTAATTTTTTCGGACATCTTTATTTGTGTAGGTTTATCTCAAATAGGTTTTCGTATTCTAAATGCTCTCAATTAAGTTTTTATTGTGTAAAATTCAATCAATTTTGTT